AGAGATTTTTTGCTTAAAGCTTCCAGCTCCTTCTATCTAAGTGTGGCTCTTCTTGTTCTGTTTGTTGGATAAAATGGAATAAAGAACATTGTAAAATTTCTATGCTGTTTGACATTCTCTAGTGTTTCTAGTTGATTTGTCAGTTCATATGAAATTGCTGCATACTATTATTAACTTTAGTATAGTCATGATTAAGATGCGCCAAAAGTTCAGAAGATATTAAAAACTTGGAGAGGAGAAGCAAAAGCAAAGTTAAGATGAACGGTAGTTTTAAGCTATTAAGTCATTACTTAAAATTTTGATGAAAAAGGTGTCAACAATCTACTTCCTCCGTCCAAAAAAAATTCTCTTGATTTGGAATATGAGGGTCAAATTAAGATGTTCGATCTGAATTTAGACATAAAATCTTCCATTTATTTAAAAAGGGGACCCAATTCTTGTTTCACTCGATATGAAGCCTCTTACATTATCTTGTCCATGCTCTAGTGACGATAAAGAAAGTGTTAGTAATCCCACATCAGTAGTAGGTGAAATAATAATTTGTCTCTTTGCATGACTTTGGACTAGCTCATCTACATGAAAGTAAAGGGAAGATCCATATATTAAAAAAATAAAATAACAGAGACAAACCAAAATTATTATACAAATCGGCATTGCTGTCATTTTAAGAACATGTGTGATTGAGAAATGAAAGTGAAAGAGTAAGCAAAAAAAATGTGAGCGCTCCTGCGTGGGGCTCGGCCTCCGTACCATATGTGGGACGAGTTTTTGCCTCATACAGCTCGGATCGAAGACCGAGGGAAGTTTAGAAGAGATGGGGAAACCTAGCAAAAATTATTATACAAATCGGCATTGCTGTCATTTTAAGAACATGTGTATTTATGCTATATTGATATACGATTTTGTAATTATTTGTATGTGCTCTATTAATATGGTGGTTGAGATACTGTACAATATTTTTATTAAAAATAAACTACTAAAGGTAGAAAATTTATCATTTTATACAACTATAGGGACGTGTGAAATCAATATTGAGTTGCCTCAATGATCAATGATGCACATAGACAGCTTTACAATGTTTGCATGTGGTTTGTTGTATACTATAAAAAATAGTAATACTTTAATTGATAAAATAATATTCCATATGCACTATTTAAAATTCTGTATCTGTCTTACTATTTAAAGTATATACTACAAAAAAATGCTCAATTTATGGGGGTCATTTTGTCAATTTGTGGCATTTTTGGGACCCCACAAATTAAATTGTGGTGGTTTTTTAAAATGCTACACTTACTCTTGCCACGAGCATATTTGTAGCGGTTTTAGTAAACCTCCACGACGCTCCCCACAAAATGACTAATAAATTTGTGGAGGTTTTATACTATCAATTTGTGACGATTTAGAACCTTCACAATATCATCTCAATATTTTAATTTTTTTATTTTTGTAGATTTAAATTTTTTGTTATATAAGATCAATATTTACATAATTTGATTTGTCGAGTTTTATAAAATTATTATTATCATAATAATAAAAATGAAATTCGATTTACATTAAGTCTTAAAAATAATATAAATAATCTTATTGAATAACACACTTAATGCAAATAAAATTTCACTAAACAAATTTATATTTATAAGCTTCACAAGTTCAAACTCATGTCAAATAAAAGTAATACAAACTTGTGTATAATAACTTCAACATTACATTTTAAATGATAAAACATTCACAACAACTAAATATAAAAAATTCTATAGCATTTGTTTGATGATTTAGGTTGTTGCTAGTCAATCTCTTATCTAAGGTGAAGTAAGCTCTATCCCCGGATCAATCTGAAACAAAAAAATATATACATAATTAGATAAACATATATTGATACATATATATATTTTTGTATGTCTTGAAAAAATTAATGAAAGTTCATTTCATCCCCAAAGCAAATTCATATAAAGCTTTGGTTTGAAAAAAAAAAATTTATGGATGAGAGAAATTATTTTGATGTTCTCTCTTACACACTTATGTGAATAATAACGATTTCATGATTATTTCTACGGAAATAAAAGCTAGGTGTACAGAATAGGAAAATACATATTTTTAAGTTATACTTATATTGATCACAATCTCATGTGCAAAATTATCCTTTAATTTGCATTAGTCAAATCCAATCAAGAATAAAACTATTACAATGATATTTAAATAAACAAAAATGAAATTGAGGCTTACCTGAAATCAATTGAAGGTCCCCTATAAATAACTTTACAATGTGATGAAAGTTTTAACAAAACCTGAAATATGTAAAGGCATTAATGTGTTAGGTTTACAACTTGTAAAATACAAAATGTCTACAAATTAAATAATACTAAGATCAATATTTACATTTAAAATTAAGATCAATATTTATATTCAAAAAATTATTTACCATCTATTCCATTGTTCATAACCTACAGGAGAACAAATTATTTAGCAAAAAATTAAAATTTATACTCACCCAAAAGATTGCCAGAAAATGAAGTAAGAAAAAAAATTAGAGGTAAAGGGAAAGAGGAGAGGGTGAAGGAAAAGTATTAAGTTTAGGTAGAAAATGATATGGGATTTGTGTGTGGGAGTTTTACGTGGGAAGTGGGGGTAGTTATTTGGTTGTTTTGAAAATTTTAAGGGAATTAGTGGGAAATTTTGGTTTAAGGCTATTTTTAATATTTTGGAGGGAAAAATATTACTATTAAATTTTTATGCACAGAACAAGCTTTTTCTTTTTAATGATTATTAATAAGTAACTAATTAATTAAGTTGACTTTAATATTACAAAAGCTTAAATAAAACTAAAATTTAAGCAAAAATAAATATTAATGAATATGACTTTATAAGATATCTTAATACAAATTGTAGTATTAGTATATATAAGATAAAACATTGAAGTGAAGTTGGATATAAAAAGTAGAAGGAGAATGTGTGTATATATAATGAAATTAACTTTCAACATTAATTCTTTTTATATATATATATATATATATAGTAACAAAATAAATTTTGGGGGGTCGATAATCGACATAAACTATTCTAACTTATGAAAATTCTCTAAACCCCTTAATAAAACTACCACAAAATGATTTATATTGTGGGAGTTAGAAAAAACGCTACAAAATGTATTAATAATGGAGTTTTTAAGAACTCCCTCAAGTTAACCGTCATAAATAATAGAGGAAAAAGTGCAAAGGGCCCAAGAGAATAAACTCCAAAATCAAGAAAAATTAAATAAGTGTTGCTTCACCGACGCAAGACGGTTCAATTTGTTAATATTTGTGTTGCTTTCAGCTGAGTCAAGTGAAGTTACGTTTTCCTCTATTTAATTTGCAGGTTGGTATAAAAAATAAAAAGACAACTTATTGTAATTTTATTTATGTTGACAGTTTCCCAGCTACAAGTTCTTAATTACTTTTGCGATAGAAAGATGGTAACGTCTCGTGATGTGAAGGGTCAGATGGTTTAATTACACAACTTTTGCTTCTATGCAGTAATTACATATAGTGACCTGAAACTCCTGAAAGGTGTGCATCCTTGAGATAATAATTTATACTCCGTGTATTTTATATTATCCACATTAAAAATAGATGTTTCATTTTATTTGTTTAATTTAAGAATTAAAAAAGAATATATTATATATTTTTTCATTTCTATCATTGGTATTTTTTATCTATGATTTAATTAGTAAAATACACTTATGGTAAAATATGAATCAAGTAAAATGAAACATAAAGAATAATTATTTACAATAATTAAAGCCGTTTCATTTTACTTGTTAATTTGATAATTTGTTTTACCAAAAAATCATTTAAAATTATTATTTCATATAATAATTATTAAATAAAAAGATTAATATTTTTTTTAAAATCTAATTAAAATTAACAAATTAAAAAAATATAGTAAAATGAAACGGAGGGCTACATGAATGACCCCAAAACTATAGAGTTAATTTCACATGTGGTTATTGAATTTTTCTACATTGTATTAGTAAAGCCCTGCGTTTAAAGTTCGGTTCAATTCCATTTATCAATAGTAAAATAATTTTTATCCTCTCCAAACATCTAGAAGAAAAAAATAATAATTATTTAAATGGGGAAGCTTAATCTTTTTATTTTATTTAGAAAAATCAAATCAGCCAAGTATGTAATAATGATTTCCAAAAGTACGACTCGGTTGGATTAGATTTGACTTAAATAAGATTCACTCAGTCTTTGGCTAATCAATGGTGTAATCGCATAGGAGCTGACACATATACACATCATTACATGTTTATCTATTCGTTAATTAATTAACACCCATTCCTAATTTGATCCCAAATCCTTCTTCCTTCCCCTTTATATAATCAGCCTCCACCTTCTTCATTACTCTCCTTCTTCTCTCTAAATTTCCTATTGATCCAATCTCCCAATTGTTGCCAAAATCGGCTGGCATTTTGCCGGTAACTGCAGCGGCAATATTGTTAAAATTTATTTTTTTGGGCCTCCTGCCATAACGTTTTGTTCGGTAACAATTGGGTTTGACGGATTGGTTTCAAAGGTGAAAATTTTGGTACATAATATCTAGATATTAGATAGAAATTTTGTATTAACCGCCTAGTTTTTGAAATCCAGGCACGATTGATTGATACAGAAAAGTCTCTTTTTGTTTTTAAAACTTTTTGGAAGGACAGATTAAAGGGTTTGTTTGAACATTAAAGCTGTTTCCCAGAATTTGTTCATATTGTTTCTCTGTTGGGTGAATAAACAAGGTAATTCCCAGGCAGAATTGATTCATTCAATATAATTTCATTGGGTTTCTATCAATCCACAAACTTTCTTCATGAATTCAAATAAACACAAATGATCACATTATCGGTTTTGTTGATTAGGAGATATGGAATTGCGTTGAATTGATGCAACCTAAAATATAATGGATCATGCGATCTTATTGTTTCCTAGAAATTAAAGCTTGAATCTCCAATTTGACACGTTATTGATAGTGATTTACCTTTTTAAAATCCTGTAGAAGGATCGTTAAGCGAATGAGCAAGAAAGATGAGGAATCTCCGCGGGTGAGCGCCTCACCAAACCCGCCTCCATTGCCAGTGGCTTTCATAAGTAGCCGGCAGGAGAGCACATTTGCAGCGAGGAAATCAGCAGTGAGAAAATACTGCTGCACGCCAACAGCTACAAAGAATTCTTGGGATTGCCTCTTTGATGAAGGTTACAGAGCCGACGTTTCGATTAACACAGATAACGGTGGCGTCCTCTACGCACATGCTAGTATTTTGGTATGTTCTTTACACAATTGTGTGGATAATATATTCCATAAGAAAAATTGTATGAAAATTATTTTATCTTGGCGTGTGGTAATTGTTTAAGGTGTAAGATAGGGTATAACAATAGAAAATACTTTCGTTGAATAATATTTTATCCTGAAATATGATGGTTGTTTAAGGAAGAAGATAATGGTGTAGCTTATGGTTATTAAAGACAACAAATGTGTAATTGTTCGTTAAAACAAGTGATATTCAGTAAAAAGTTAGATTTATAGAACATTAATTCATTTTCCTTTGTTGAAATTCAAGGTAAGAAAAGATTTTTCACCATACAAAACAGACACTAAGATTTGATCCCATTTATGTGAACAGGGTGTAAATTCTGCAGTATTTAAAAGCATGTTGAGTTTAAAACAATCAAGAGCACAAGGTCGATGTGGTCAACGATCCATCTCCATAAATGGGGTTCCACCTGAGGCTGTTCAAGTTTTCATCAGATTCTTGTATTCTTCCAGGTACAATCATTCTCCTTTGACATTATTTGTGTGCTTTGGTTCCTTGGCACATGCCTATTTGGCTTCCAAATTCTTTAACCATATTTCTTACTGTACAATTATCATAATTTGACATAACTTTCTTATTAACTGTCATGTTTTCATGGCAAGGCATTTAATCAATGGTAGTTGTCTCACATTGTCATTGAGATCCGCAAATTAATCTTTACGAAGTGATCTAAAGCCAAATCAATATTGAGATAGCAGTATAATATATATGTAATCTAAATTACAGTAAATTAGGTTGATCATCTGTATTTTCATTATTCACTTTGCAGGTATGAGGAAGAAAAAATGAAGGAGCATGGGTTGAGCCTTTTGGTGCTATCGCATGCATATGCAGTCACCCACCTAAAGCGAGAATGTGAGTGGCAGCTGGAGCAAAGATTAACCACGGAAAATGTGGTTGACATCTTCCAGTTAGCACTATTGTGTGATGCCTCTCGGCTTAGCCTTGTTTGTCACCGTTTTATGATGAAGAATCTTAAGCCTATTTCTGCCACAGAAGGATGGAAAGCTATGAAACAAAGCCATCCTGTGCTTGAAAAACAGATGTTGAAATCCATAATTGATGAGGATATTGTAAGTAAAGTACCCTCACATGTACAAAAGGGATCTTATCCCATTTAAGTTTTTTTTTTCCTTTTGGATTTGATACTAACTAATATAACGACTTGTTTGCAGAGGGAAAAGGAAAGGGTGAGAAAAAACAATGAGAGGAAAATGTATATGCAGTTATATGAGGCAATGGAAGCCCTGGTTCACATATGCAAAGATGGTTGCCGTACAATTGGTCCCCATGATAAGGTTTTGAAAGAGGATCAAGAACCATGCCATTATGCAGCATGCAAAGGGCTAGAATCCCTCATTCGTCACTTTGCTGGGTGTAAGTTGAGAGTCCCAGGTGGCTGCATCCACTGCAAGAGGATGTGGCAAGTTTTGGAGCTGCATTCTCGCCTTTGTGCCAATTCGGATGTTTGTAAAGTTCCTTTGTGCAGGTTTGTTATGTTAAATTTATCTTTCTCCTATTTTTGCAAGAAACAAACACAGAAGATCAGTCATTTGTTGTTTTATATCGAACAGAATTCATTATATTTATAGGTTGACTAATATTATTATTTTTTATGTTTACGCAGGAGTTTTAAGCAGAAGCGCAGAAAACAGAACAAGAAGGATGAAATGAAATGGAGTATATTGGTGAGAAAGATAGTGAGATCCAAGAGCATTTCTGGAGCTCCATTCTTCTCATCTGAATCCACATAATGTGCAGTACAATCAATTGTTGTTGCACCTTATTGTATTCATTCTTTAAATAGATATACAATTCATTGAATCTTCTACTATTAATTTGGAATTTTGTGTCGAGCTACACTTTCTACAATGTATCTATACAACTCATTGTAACTATTTATTAAGATCAATGGACAATTAAATTACTCAGCTAATTGCTCTCAGGTGTACCTTAGCTGCCTTCAAACTATTCTTAGTTGCTGCTTACTTGTCAATGAGTCAATATTTAAAATGTTGAATTACATTACTTTAATTTATACTACTTTTGCTGTAAGATTATTGAACCAACAACGAGTTTTCTTCGTGCACCCCTTGCCCTTGTTGTTAGAAAAAGAACAGTAGTTGAAACATTAGAGATTGTTTGGTACAAAGAATAATAACGGAGGAATTAGTAACGCATGAATTAGTAGTGCAGGAATTAATAGTTCAGGAATTATTTTTATTTCATTGTTTCCACCTCATCTTTTGTTTGGATTAAAACTCTATAAAAAACTTCTTTCCAATTATATCCTTGAATTATTATGTAATTAGGTCGAGGTAGATAATTGCCGGACAATATTTTCTTTGTGGCCTTCTAACTAGTTATGAGAATAACAGTTTTGTTGTCATGTTTGCTATTTTTTTCACTTGAATTATTTGAGGATAAATAATTGTCATATTAATAAATTGATCACTCACAAAATGTCAATTTTCAATTTAAAAAAGATAAACCATCTACTTTTAAAATTGTAAAGACAGTCAACAATGGTAAAATTGAATAAACCATCTACATTTACACATAAAAATTGCAAGTTGTAATTTTAATATGTATGTAATTTTTTAAATTGTTCAAGAATACAAATAGTTAGAAAACCACACAAATATATATATATATATATATATATATATATATATATATATATATATATTACAAACGTATGTAGTGATATATTTGCCTTTTTAATTAGTAAGTGTTAAACAACTCACATTTCAAATCTGTATTGGATTTATAAAGTAACACACAACTCTCTCTAAATAAATTGTAAGTTAATTTATTTAAATAAATTTATTAGTACAAATATAAAACATAAAATTAAGAAAATAAATAAAATAATTAAAATGATTTGAGGGATATTTTTGTCTTTACATAGACTTATCACATGGTATTATATCATATGTATTGCTAATACTTCCAAATAGAAGGTATTAGTAATACATCCTATAATACAGATTGTATAACTATTCCATGTATTAGTTATACATAGGCCCAAATTCCTATCAAATTTAATACTAAATAATAACATACATAGTACATGGATTATTTATTCTAATGCAACCAACCAAACGCCCCTAAAAGAGTTACAAGAATGACACGCAAATTAAAAAAAGATGCAATTTTTCTTTTGGAGGGAATCTGACCGTCATGCACGAGTTAAGATAGACGGCCTATAATACCTCCTCTCGCTTGACCCTTCTCATATTCATTTGAGGCATTGCGGACTAATTTCATTTCATTTTTATAAAAAATGAACAATTTTCAAGTTTCAAATGCGTACTGTTCAATCAGATTAACTTTAATATTCTCCTTTCGAAATTACTAAATACATAAGTTAATTAAAATCTTAATTTTATGTAGTGGCAATAGAATACTCCTCCTGTTTTATTATCATGAAAATACTATTTTGACAGAGAAATAAATAAAAAATTTTAGAATTTGTTATCTTAAATATGTAATGATATTTCACTATTTATATATAGAAAAAATACAACTGAAAATTTAATTATCTTAATATTAGTAGTACTATTTTTTAGAACAAATTAAAAAGTATTAGAGTGCCACCCGGAGAAGAAGGGGTAAAAGAAGAAAGGAAAAAAAAAAAGTAAGGCAGTTATATAAGGGCGTAGCTTACCTGTCACGCTTCAAATGTTTCGCCAAGAGAAAGAAATGGTGCCTCTTATGGAGGGAAATCGGCTTCACAAAATCAGTGTAGTTGCCATTACTCAACACCAAAACGCTTATTTGGGATCTGTGACGAAGGGGAACTCACCGGAACTGTAGCCATTGATGAACCTGTGCTCCTCTGGGTATGTATGTCTATGTACGATGCCTAATTCCGACCCCATCATATATACAATTATTAATCAGGTCTGCTTCGGCTAAACATGCATTTTTACAGTCATTCTACTACGGTATTCATCATTGATGCAGTTGCCATTACAAAAGGCTAATTTAAGTAATTTAATGATATTGGATGCACCTGTAAATTAAGTATTTTTACATATCCACTTCATATATGTTGGATCCCCGTCTACATCAGGAAGGGAATTGTATATCCAAAGAGTTGATTAGGTTGCTGACAATGCTTTACTTTATTTAGTTTTTACTCACCTTTTTGCATTAGTTGTGGCTCCGGGGACTAAATCCCGACATGCTTTCCGTAATATCCACTTAATCTGCTGGTTTAACAGCTGTATGAGACTTAAGGTTTAGACAAAGGTGTATGTAAAGAATGTTTATTCTATAGAGTAAGAGGAACAATTTCTTTGTATTACAGCATGATACTAACAAAACTGAGATCAGACTATCATGTTCCTCGGCGTTGAGCTTTTATGTCTCTTCACTATGTTTATAAATGAACAGGACTGTGTCTAGGTCGATATCCGTGTCAATAGAAAAAAGAGGAATAATCCCTTTACCTCATGTCGATTCATTTGCATTGAAGGTTCATTATGAATAACTAGTCCCATTTGATGGAATCCTAGAATGTTGCTGTCTAATATTTGTATCTTTGTGAAGGTTTGATGTATACACTGCCTACTCTCTGTACTGTTCCTTCACTTATTGCGTCTTGTTCATGGAGCTGGGAGCTATTTTTGCCTGCTAGCGCCAAAATGTTATTGTCTTCTTGAAGATGTGAGACTGATTCAATCTGGCGTTGCTTTCCTCATCTCCATGCTCCATTTGTGCTGGTACATTAATGATATTCAATTATTTTCACCTAAATCTCATGGTGATAAGCTATTTTCATCCCAACTCCTTTTTTGTTTCACATTATATCTGCTTAAGACTGGTAGTGATGCAGTAGCAGCTATTCTGAATGATCTTGCACCACCTACCACTGTTTGATCCTGCATTCGCCTAACATCTTTGCATACATTATCCAATATGGAGAGGAAGTCTCGCACGATCACGAATATTCTGAGAGGATGAGCTCCCTCTTTTGCAGCATCACCATGAAAATATTCTGTTACCTGTTTGACCATGGATAAGGCCTTTCTTTCTTCTGCCCTTATCCTCACTATTCCATCTTCTGCCTCCTTAAGGAATACCTTCATCGATTCAAAAAAGTTACCTTGCATACCTTGCTTTTCATATTGCAAAACTGATCTTGCTTTATCAAGTCCCACTGCAAGCTTCAAGACATAGCTCCCCAGGACATCTGAGTCCATTGCTGCTGCTTTTTTGACATTGCCAAGTTCTCTGCTTAATCCAGAAACAACCTGCAAACCTTGTTTCTTGAAATCCTCCTCTTTGAATTTGATGTTTGCTTTATTAGAAAGATCTTCGCCTGGGGGTTCAGAATCCAGCTCTTCTGACCTGATAATCTCCTGGACCACAAAGTGAAGCAAGGTCGTCTTCCCATCTGTTCCTTTTATATCTACTAATTTCAAAAGAGTGTCAAGTTTGAAAGCTCTGGCATCACCACGATTAGTTCCAACATTCATGCGGTTTCCTGTCCTTAGAACAGCTTCAAGGAGTTTGAGGAATAGTCTACTATTCTTCAATTCTTCACTGGCTACCTGTTCGTATGATGTGCAATGCACCAGAGTTATTACGATCCTTTTAAATTATCGTAAGAAAAGTCAAATACCAGGTATAGATGCAGAAAGAAATTTAGCCTAGATAATGTAATTTAGGTAATTCACACAGCATTTCTCCGAGAGTGGCTCAAGTTTACCGGTGGAATAATTTGTTGTAGTGAAGATTCTTAGAAAGGTAGTCCATGCTAATAATATCATTAAAAGTGTTAAATTTAACTCTAAATTCAGGCACAAAGAACACCAATGTAAAAGTTCTACTGCAGTCAAGATCCTGCGAGACATCAATATATAACATATTTATGTCACACCATTCTGAGAAATTAGAGTCATGAGGCATACTAAAATTTGTGTAAAGGAGGAGTTCAAACGAGATGATAAAAGGGTAAGGGTACATCTGAACGATTCTTGAGGTAGCCTGATGCTGATTCTACAATCCGAAGGTTCAATATTTTGTAAAAAAGAAACAAAAAATTCTTGAGGAATCATAGTGGCAAGGAGTCTATCTTAATGTATATTGGTGGAATAATTTATAATGGTTATCTGGGTTGCATGTGGAATGTCCTAGTTTTGTGAACAAACATCAGAATTTTGTCCTAATCAATATATTGATGTATTATTAACAAATGAATACAAATGACTTTTAAGATCTGTGGAGATGGTAAAAATTTAAGTAGATAGTTGACAGTACCTCGAGGGTTTGGAAGGATTTCCTCAAATCTTTTACTTCGCCATCAAAATTTGCTCTGTAAAGCATGACTTCTACTCTTTTGAAGGCAAATGGTATATCAAGCACTGTCTTAAGGAATCGTTCTGCAGAGCCTAACTTTGAGGCATCTTCACTGTACTCTCTTAGTTTTATCTCTTCTTCTTTTGTAGGAGCCATCTTGACCAAAGTCTCCAGAAGCTCAGGCCCTAGTCCTTCAGGATTTCCTGCAACACCAAAAGACATTCCATGTATAATGAAGCTGTAAAAAATGGATTTCCTGTGATAGCTACGATAAATAGGCAACATCATAGGTGTAATGAATATTCAATCTGATATGATGTGCATAAAACATGCCTAATTTACTGGTGTCATAGGTAAATTATTTTGGTATATGAGCTGAAAAATATGCAATTAAATACTCCTAACTATTAGACAATTAGCTTCAAAATGGCATATGAAGTCCTCTTGTGCACTTGTTGTGTTCAACTCTCTTTGTTCAAAGATGGCACAACTTGAGACAATATACTCACGAAAGATGTATTTTAAGTTGATGTTGCATGCATGTCTTAAAAGTTTGGTTCAGCAAAATGCTGTCAGAGTTTCCAGGGAGATTTACAAAGTCTACACATAAGAATGACAATAATATGCATATTTTCTGGCTAGACAAAGCTCGTATAAGTTT